TGGTCGTGCTAGGACTGGCCACAGCGGCACCGGAGCAGCGGCACCGGAGCATGCGGACGGCATCGAACCGTGGCGCACGGACAAACATCTCTTGTGTTGTCAATTATTTTCCGTTTTTTTCCTGAATACAGGTGTTGGATGTGTGTCATGACGTCACTGGTTTTGGAGAGAAGCGGCAGAGATGGCGCGGATAACCCGGGTGCCTTGATTGTGTATCTGCATCGTGGAAGACCCCTTCAATGTGGAACGATTCCTAGTCAGTGTCGATGTTTACACTGCTGTGCCTAACACAGATGATCCGAATAGATTCGGGTGATTGTCAATTGCAACGATGGCTTTGGTTGGGTGTTCTTCTTCATTGTATGTCCACGGACTCATTCTGACAGCACTTCAGACAGCAGCTGCATGCCCCGAGCTTGTGTACCATGCACCATGGTGTTAGTATTGTACAGACAGCACTTCAGACAGCAGTACACTGTAGTCGACAAACATTCATTTTGGTTAAGTGCGGGACAAGGGGGGTGATGCTGCTGCTGTAGTGGAATTGTAGTGTGTGGGCGTGTAGTTCAGTTGTGAGCACGTAAACGTGCTGCAGGGATTGCAGGTGTACCTCCTCGGGCTTGGGTACCCTTTTCTTGCTAAAAGCGTGTGTGTTCTTTAGATCTTCTGATGGCTCTAGCATTTTTGTGACCACGGACCGAGTCTTTGCTAGATGTTGGGATTAGCAACTGACACGAGTTTAATGTGAAGAAAAACAACACACCAGAAAGAAGTTTCATGTAAACATTGCTTTCTTATTTACTCTGTCTACCCGCATGCGGTGGTTGAGGCAAACATTTAACGCGATAAGAGTTTTTCATTTCCTTCCCTCATTGTGTGGTTGCTCCCGACTTTGCGTTTTCCACGCCTAAATTGCGATTTCAATCCCAGCGAGGTTAGAAACTGCACCCAGAGCATCAAAAGGTTTCTACTTCATGGGCAACCAGGTGCTAGCTCGGTAAAAAGCTCGATATGGAGCAATGTAGGAGTCTGTCGTTTGATTATGGTTTTCGCGACCATTGCCCGCCTCTCTTTCGCCGATGCTGACCAAGCGTAACAATTCGTACTGCTGTACACGGCTACCACTCAAGTTCATAGTTCTGGTCCTCTGCTGTGTTGAGGTTTCGGTCCGATCGAATACTTTTACCATGAGTCCTGGCTCGCCTAAATCTCGCTCTATCATTGCTTTCACATACACACACATGTCTCTGCTCGGGCTTTAATATTCCTCGTTTGCTTTCGTTTGGTGGCGAGAGGGTGTGAGCGTTCTCGTTCGGGTACAGAAGATGGACGGCTGATTTTTTCGGTTTTAGGGTTGAATGGGAAGTTCGAAGCTGACGTACTAGGTTCTGTTTGAGACGTACGCCCAAACAATTTCTTCCTCTAACTGGAAGGCCTTCGCACGAAGGTCACCTTCAATCGGACTCTTGATTGATGATCCCTGAAGAGAGGTCGAAAAATGCTCTAGGTGGTGTATTTAGATGGAATATTCTTGGTAAGGCCTTTTCAGGTTGGCAATAAGGTCGAGCAACCACTGGATGAACAACGACAGCCTACAGCACCACGTTTTGTGCTCTGTCTTTCGTTGTGTAGATGCCATGTGTAATCCCTTTGATGGGACCTCTGGTACAAAAATGTTTTTGCTATCCTCTCCGCACGATACGTTTTTCGGCAAGCTGACGATGCCAAATCTTGGTTCTTGACGTGTACGCAACCCAGGCGGAAGGGGTTTGGAAATATGAGTTCGACATTGAAGCTCCCGGACCTAGGACGCAATCTCTGCACCATCGAATTCTGCGAGAGATCAAGAACAAGTCGGATTTTCCAGGCTATCGAAAGGGAGAGGTGAGGAACAATGATTATTTTCTCTGGAATAGGCGCACAGGCGTACATGCTTTGAGGAAAATTGCAGTGCACCACTGATCCTTGCTCTCCCTCCGTGAAATTGTCCCGTATTCGGTTTGAATGCTTGCAAACCTATTTCACTAAACGCGAAGACTTGACGTATCTTGTTTTAATTCTTCCCTTTCTAAAATGGTTGGTTGTTGTGTTGTTCGTCCGCCGTACCGTGTGTCGGACGACAAACCGTTCCGCATGACGGTCACCGTGATACTTCACGCTGGCGCTGTACTGGCACTGTTGGCGCTCTTTGGCGCCGTGAAAGATTCCTCCGCGACTTATGCCAGAGGCTACCAAGGTCAGACACGCGGTGTTTGGCACTTGCCGAGGGCGTAACTTTCTTTGGGATGCATGCCCACCAGTGCGCTTTTTCTGACTGTTAATTGTGCGGACCCACGTGCATAGGCGTGCTTCAACAGCGTTGGTTGTGGGTTGTGCGCACAACAGTGTTCCCACGCAAGACTCGTCTGAACGTGACTTGCTGCTGATCCGCACGAAGATACACTGTTTACCACTTTATGAAATGCTTACATGCAACACGACGACTCTCCTATATGTAAGTAGCCAACCGTGGTGTTCTTTTCGTGTTCATTTTGTCTCGTACTGTTCACCGTACACCCAAACTAGTTGTGCATATCACTGGGCTAGTCTTGATACCGAACACATTTTTTTACAAAACAATCTCTCGTTCATCTGTTGCCATGAGACAGTATGTGATTGAGGAAGTCATGAACGAAGGTCTACAAACAGCTTTGGCTACATACAACCTGGTTGGAGCCAAGGGAGATGGGAGTGAGGCTGACATCAAGAACGACATTGAAGACATGCTCAAGGTGGGTGACCGCAAAGACTAGCCAAGGTCGTGATGGCTGTGTCCGGCGTCTGTCTAGCATATCCACGTGTGATACTTCCGCCGATCATCGAAACCTGCTGTTTTTGTGAGCGATGGCTTGTTGCGATCTTGGAAAGACTCTACTCCCACCGTGCGGTCGGGTACATCATGAAATTACCGCGGTTCAGCTTAGCACTCATCGTTGCGTACAACGTGATTCATTTTTGTCTTGCTCTTCTCTTGACTCTGGTGCCGCCGGTTGATGTTGCCGCTCGTTGTGGTACTGATTTGAACAGGTATTCAAGCCGGGAAAACCTCTGTCGTTCAGTTGCACGTTTGATGCGAAACCAAAACCTGAAGATGAAGATGGTGGCCCAGAGGATGATGCGGCAGCGGTGGACGCTACCTAGTCTTTTGAGTAGCCATAGAAAAGGAATCCATCCTTGTCTTTCATCGATTATCCTTCGCAAAGGATTTATTCCTTCGCAAAATCGTGTTCTTTCCTGCCATGCATATGTTCGACCCGAAGCGTCTCCCAACCGACTTCTTGCAAATTTATTGTCTTGATTGACCATATGTGGACTGCCAGATGTCGTTCATGAACGAATTGTAACCACGTCAACATGGCGTACCCTGCTCTCTTTTGGCTCGGCGCTTGCGGTTGGGCGCCCTCGAAATTGGAGGGACAACATTATGTGCCGGTCGGATGTAGCTCTTTCGTGCTCCGAGTAATTGTTTTTTAACGTTCGCAACACTTCACGAACACGGTCGTTCCTCCAGACGGCTACCGCGATGAGCTTCCGACGTTTCGCAGCGCCTGCCATTCAGAGCATGCAGAGGGATAGGTTTGTGGGCAGGACGACATTGTTCAAATCGCATTAAATAGAAACTTTTGCCCTAGCCAGCCATGGACTGACGTGCATACGTCAGCCTGACGGGACGCATTCCGTGTCGTGTGAAATTGGATACAAGGACAAACCGCGTACGCATAGTTAGTGAACGAAGGACCACGATAATCTTCTATGAAATGAAAATGGTTGGTTGGTCTAGGGAAGTAGAATTCAGTCATGAACTAGACTGCTGGTGACCGAGATAGAACACTCCAGTGATTTTTTTTTTGTCTACGACACGCACTTCCCAGGAAACAAGAATGCTTTCATTGGGATCGTCTCAGAGTGGGGGCGTTTCCCGTTAACACCACAACATCGATCGCACCTATCATCCACTCAGGTATTTCAATCAGCACATTGCTTCAGCACGGGGAAACCACAAAAAGTGGGGAGGGTTTTGTCTATAACCCACACAGGTTGAAGGTTTACTGCTTTGAACGCCTGCAATATCACTTTACTGTAGCAATGTGTTCATCGAGCTGGTGACCCTACCCAACCATTTGATGCCACTCATGACCAGAGCGCATCCATCCTTATCTGATTTGGCGCTTGAAACTCGGTAGGGGTTTTGTGCACGATAAAGGGGAAGTTTTCGCCAGTGTTCCTTCTGAGAAATAACTCGGACAAATAGTACAAGAAAAGATGACCCCCTCAGCTGTTCGCGAGGAAATACTATAAATCTCGAGGACGGGTCCGGGCTTCGCTATTAATTATCTCCTGATGACCATCCCTAACACACACTTGCCGTAATACTGTACGGGATGTACGGACAAACTTTTCTTTATACCTCAATTTCTGCCAAATTACACTGGTGCCATGCAGTCCTAACCCTCGCATTAGAAAAGTAGAGCCAAACAAATGCAGCCAAACCTCAAGACGATTGATTATAATTTCCCCGCAAGAGCACGCAAAACGAATCAGAGAGATTCTTGCATATATAACTAGGACTAATAATAAATACCATGACAATTGTGCCTCTTCCTGTAACGCATTTATCGCGATTGTCCCATACGAGTACTCCCGCCTTACCACCGCTGCTCGGCTTGATGCCCTATTAGTAGAGGACTAGACTTTTGCTAAGGTCAGGCGAACGCATCATCAGGTGTTTTATATCCGCAGTGAAACTTGTTGAGTTTTTAATATCGACCCTGTCAAAGCTACAGCATGCGATTGTCTAAACATCTGCAGCCATGACCTCAACTCAAGAGGAGTAAAAGGCGACCGCAAGAGAACCAAAGGGTTCCGAGGCTCTCACTTGTACTTCTTTCCGCAGGGCATCCACCAAGCGATCGTCCGTGTCTGACTTTGCCAGGAGCATCCTGGCACGGTTTCGGATCTGCGCGTTCGTTCTTTCTAGGCCGGCGACCCTGTTAGGATCAATATATCCACAGGACAGTGTGCCCACGTGTGCCTCAGACATGTGGGGACACTAAAAGTAGTCGCTCTTATTGTGAACATCTGGAAGGCTACATCATCTTGAGTCGTATGCCTGTTCAGAACCAACGGTGAGGCCAACGAGCTACGTTCTCTGTTGGACACCTACCTCGCTCCTTTCGCCACCAACTGACCCCGCAAGGCCTCTGCCTCTTCTTGCCGGGCATTACATTTTGCCTGGTAGGACATATTAAAGGAAGCAAATACAAACAAACGTGAAATGAAAGTGAGTGGCATTTTCCATGTATGTGTGTCTTTCGTTTTGGCCCTTAGGCGACGCCTTCATTCCATTTATATCCCCAAAGAGCTTAGAAGGAACAATTAACCGAGGGTAACGACATTCAGCCCGATCTCCCGACCTCCCATCCATACCGAACAGCGTTCCCGGTAGAAAAAATGTGTTGTGTGTGCTTTCGTCCCATCTATTCTGGGCGCTAATGTAGACCTTTCAGTAGTTTGACGCACCAGCCGGGGTCACGCACATAAATATAGCATGCATCTACTATTTTGGAATGATCTCGATTAGTTTGGCCCGTTCTAGAGGCAGTTGACCAAGAGAAAGATACAGTGAGGTCCGGCAGAAAGAGCATACATACATACATTAATACATATTTCGAGAACGGTACATAGATTCGGGGTTGCCACCTCTAACAAGAGGGGGCACCTCTGTGTGCTGTTCAACGCTTTTTTCTCGCCTCCAGCTGCTCGATTGCGTGCCCACGATGTCGTTCCATGTAGTGGATCTCCTCCTGCGCCTGGCTGTCAACGTCCTGTCGCCCTTGCTTGCTGCGGATTTCACCAGATTGCCCAGGGTCCTGGAACATTATTATCATTGCATTTTTTTTGAAAAAGCCTTCAAGTTTGCGAGACACAAGTAAACGACCAGCAGGCGCTTCTGAACGTTTTCAAACAAAACAAATTATGAACAACCACGGTGGCCTCCAACTCACCCGTCCGATCCTAAGCTGTGTCTGTAGCTGCTTCACCGTCGCCTTCAACATCACTATTTGCTGAGCGCGCCCCTTCCACCCGCCCGTGTCGTTCAAAACCCGGCCTAGCCCCAAGCTGGTTCCTCCTACTTCTTTCGATAAAGCCCTGTACGCTTTTTTAATCTCCTCTTGTGCCTCATGTAGTTTGTTCCTCAGCAGCACTATCTGTTGTTTTGCGGGTGTGCACGTTCCTCGCATCAGCTTATGGTGCTATATCTCGACGGTGCTGGCTGGTAGTAGGAGATAGTTTGAACAAGAAGTGCGGGAGGGCGTTGTTCTCCCAGCGATAGCACGCTGATAGATTGAACTTCGATGGTAGGCCATGCAACGATAGCTCTCACGATGCTTTTGATTGGCGCAGCCGACGCAACGGTATTCTGGATACAACTCGTCATTCACGAAAATCAGGACATATTTCGTCAAATCGGAAACAATAGTATGTCGGAGAGGATGTCCCACAAGACCTCTCATGTAGCGCTGTAGTTGGCTTGTTCGCCAAACTCGAACGCAGCAAGATCACCTGCTGTCGAAAGCGTTCTTCGTTTCCATCGATTCGGGCTGAAGACGAGACATCCGCCGGCTGGGTACCCTGGACACAAGGAATTAATGCCAGGAAAAAATGTGCCGGGGTAGCATATGTACAGCGAAACACTCATTTCAGCGAGGAGTACTTCTGAACGCAAGCAAGGAGCTTGCAGTTGACATATTGCACAAGCATCTAACACTCTGGTTTCAATAACATAGAGTGCTACCCTTTCCGAATATCTGCGCACCAACCGAGGTCCAGCGGATGACACGATCTCAAGCTGTCTTCGACACGCCACCAGCTCTTTCGACAAAACGTCCGCCTCTCGACGCGCTTTTAGGCAACTGTGAAAGAGCAAGATGGGATACAAGGAGGCGAATGAACAATACCTCCTGGAACAGTGGTGGACAAAGAGATAACCCCACCCCGCACAGTCACTTTTACGAAATAATCGAAACGACCCTCGCTGTTGCCAGGAAAAATTCTACGAAACGTGAACCATCGCTTCAGTGTGTTCCACAAAAAAATGCTGATATTCTCAACGACCATCCTCCATACAACGAAGACTAAAGCCATCCGATTCAACGTACCGGCGTCCAATCTGTTTCCGTGTGTGGATAAAGTGACAACTTCAACGAATCATGACGCCGATCGTGCCCACCTTGCCCTTTCTTTCTCCAGCTTCGCATCTCGATCCCGGATACGCTTCGCGAGTTGAATTATCTTGACATCTCTATAATCGAGATCCTTCCCCCTATCTGTGTCACCTCCACAATGGAGTACGGAGAGAAAGGCGTTGGGATCCAGGCCGGGCACGGGCTCCAAAGCCTCGACCAAAGCACCCAACTCTAGCACCTGGAAGGGCGCAAGTGGACAACGTTTGGAAATCAGACACCTGTTGCAGGTAGGATTGTTTTCAGGCAAACGCCCGGTGCGTCCAACCCCCATGCCCTTATCATCCAATCACCACAATCAGACCTACTGTCATCACAGAATTTCTTCGAATCCCACGCAGAAGACATTCAACTCACCGATTTCATGAACTAGACTACTATATTAGTTGCAAACCAGATCCAAACGCCGTGTTTTGCACGTAATGAGAGGGAGATTCCAACTGTGGTTGTAGGTGGGACCTATCTGCACCTGTCGACTCTTTTCCTCTACCGCTTCCAGGAGCATGGCGTTCTGATTTTGGAGCTTTTGAAGAGCGGCCGCCATTCCACCCGACAGTCGTGCAACATTGTCGCCTGCTACACCACTCGGAGCTGGATCTTCAGGTCGTGAGCAACCGTTGCCGTCTGGGACTACATACAGCATGACGAAATGGCGCGGGGCAAGGTATTGGAATATCACTGGTTCTCTCCACTGGATCAGTAATTCACCTCCCGTTAATCATTACCGGTCGAGCAACCAGATCAACTTACCTCGAAGCAATTTGCAACGATTCAAATCAAGAGGTAGTAGACTTGTGTGCCGAAGTAACTGCCACGCATCACAGCTTGCCCGCCGAAAATAACTTCCCGTGTCATATCCATGCATCTATGCTGTATGTACAGCACCGCGACTTTTCGCCCAAACAAAGGAGTACAAGTTCCTCACAGGATACATCTAATGTCGTCTTACCGATATCTCCAGTGTTGCTGTCGCTGCTGTTGCCATCTAATTCTGAGTCCAGCACATCCCCTTCGACGCCGTACTTCAACGCCAGTCCCGCCGGATCATACTCTAGCTGAGAAGCGGTGTCGAATGTCCAAGACCGTAGGGCAAAGGTTTGAACGGGTTGTCAACAATGTTGCCAGTTGAACGAATTAAGACGGGACGGGGAAATCAACCGTCACCGCGGACGTATTGGAGTGGCTGATAGTCTTGTGCTCTCCGGCACACGTACCGTCCGACCACAAGAGAGTGGGGATAATATCAACAGTGGTGGCTTCAATAAACAAGTCTGGTCAACCATGACTCCGACCACTGCTGGAAACTTGATTTTGCAGCGGGCACCGAAAAGGATTGAAAAAAAAAACGCTCAAAAAAGGGGCCATGGTTCGCTGGTATCCCCGTGTTCTCAAAAATCGTGGAAATCGAGGTTCTTCATGATAACCCGCCATGAGAAAAACACAAGAGAAACGAACAACGGATGCTGCTGGAAATATATCCCGTCATGGAAAGAAACGGCTTGGTGGGCGTGTGCAAGGCAGCAACGCCCTGAACGTCCACCTGAGAATCTCCGGCATCAGTTCGAGGGGGTGGGGGGGGCGTTGCCGTGTGGATAGCGCCGTGCCGCCGCCAAAGCGGTGTTGAAATGTCGGCCAAAGCGGTGTTGAAACGTCGCTCTTTACTGCAGCAGTGATAGCACAAAGTCGACAATCTGAACATCGCCCTTCACCATGCATTGCATTGTTTACAGCATTTCCAAATCAATTTGCTCCTTCTTAGACCTTCCTCGGCACCACCACTGCTGTACGTTCACAATTAACACACTACGCGTCTACCTCCCTCAGCGAGCCACTCGAAATCAACACCCCAACTTTGAACCTCCGGTCAAGAGTTTTAAACTACATTGTTGTTGCTCCCAGCGAGTAGGTGCCGAATCACCTCCTCTCTTTCCAAACTGTTGAGATTCTTGCGTTTTGACACCTGGGAGGCACCCCCAGCAGCGGACATGCCTCGCCAGCAGATGGGAAGGCTCTTAACCGGAGGTTAAAAGTTGGGGTGTTGATTTCGAGTGGCTTCTGCTGGGGAAGGACCAACCTTTTAGCGGGACCTGTCAAAAAGAGCCCGGTTCTGTGTGTCCGCTAAAAAAACGGTCCGCAAAAATGTTGTAATGGGATATGGGATCGACATAGACATAGCCCGCATTTCCGCAATTTGTCCCAACCGATCGTATATTCCCGACCAGAAGGAGTAAACGGCTGGCAGTACGTAGATACCGTGCATACGTCGGTCACAAACATTACGACCGCCAGATATAGCGGTGGCAGCACCTCACGTCCACGAGAGAAATGGATTGCTCACACACTCTTACCCAGTTGCGCGGATGGATCCAGTGTGAACCCACGTGGTCCAAACCCAAGTCTACATGACATGGCCGTACATGCGCTCGAAAACACAATCAAATTCAAGATAAGCATAGACTGGACTCAAAATAAAAAGCGTGAAAGGTTGCAAAACACAACAATCTGCTGAAGACTACTAGACTACGCAGTATGCATTTACCATGTTATGTATCTGTGGTGATCAGGGTAGTCTATACCACGAAGTACAAGAGAAGCGAACACACACCTCCATGACGCTCGACGCCGGTTGCTGTGCTTGCTCCATGCTCGTTTCGTCGGACAGAAAGAGAAAGATGTTACAAATGAACGGGTTTGTTTGTGTGGCAAGACTGGGCTTTTGGTTTGCTGCTGTGGTGAAGATTCGGGCCGCAGTACGGCAGAACTACTGCTGTCCGATTCAAAATCTTAAAATTTTTTTTGGAAAGTCCCAGGGGGCGCAGTATTTCCATGTTGTTGATCATGCCGTCCCTGCACTGTCATTGCTCCGCGTACCCCCTTGGTTGAACGTGTCGGGTGCGGAAGGTGTCAGGTGCGTGTGAAGGCGAGCAGGTGTCGTGCGAGGTGTGTGTGTCACCGCGCAAGAGTTAGGCACCAAGAGAGAGAGGCGCAAGAGACTTGGAAGAAAAGGGGAAGCACTGGGGACACTTTCGAGCGCCAGAAAGCGAGCCTTCCGACCGTGCCAGACGGTGAGGCTGTACGCACCTTGATTCCTTTAGGAGACAGAAGAGAAAGTCAGAACATTGCTCCTCGCGCGACGTAGATACCCCGATACCCCACCTTCGTCGTGCGAGTCTGCTGTTCCCACAAGGCATGGCATCATCCTTCGTAGGGTGCGTTAAACCCAGTTCTATCGTCATAAACCCGATACGTGCCGTTATGATATGTTCACACCCTGCTCATCATGGCTCTTCTTCAATTATTCCCTGGTGTTTGATACATTGCTACAATAGTCGACAACAGCAGCAGCAGTTGTTGTGTTGGGCGGGGTATTTACGTATTTACCATCCCTCAAGAGCAACGTCGTGTGTTGCCATTTTGGCTATGGGAGGTGACGACATCCTCCGAATCTAGACCAAGATTACGAGAAGGCCTATAGGTATCAAAACAACAGCATGTGCCTCGGCTGGGGACAACGTTTAACTTTTACGGGGAAAGAGTAACATCTACACAGGCAGGCAGCCAGCCATCTACAGCAGTAAATACATACAAGTAGATTCAACAAGTTCACCACCTGCGACCCGACGACAGAGTTTGTACTTGTACTGCTTCAAATTATTGTTCCTTCCTCGCAGTACTGGCGTGCAAGTTATCCTCACTACTTTTCGCTGCCTGCCCGTCGCCGCCTTTATCAGGAGTGGCATGCAATTTTGTTTCAATTGTTTTTGAGCTACACCTCAAAAGTACCGTAGCTTTCGGCGAGCTGGACCGGAGGTGAACTACGTACTGCTGTAGGTCCATTCGAGCAACTGGGAAAGGGCAGTCGTGTGAATACCCTCAACTTCGTGTGAGCTGAGGTCCCAATTTGGCGAGGTGGTATATGCCTACCACCGGAGGCAGGCCAGTTTCCTCTGTTGAGATGTGACGAGGAATGTCAAGCGGTGACCGAGCGTGCTCGGTCAAGGCTAGGGTAAGGTTGCGAGTGGGCGTTGGCCGAGACTCTTCTTGGCTCTCGGTACCAACCATTATGAACCACCCCGACTTCGGAGCAAATACCCCACAAAGTAAAGGTCCAGAGTAGAGCGATGAATTATCGTCTGCCGAAGGTTATTTACTCCCTTCGTATGTGTGTGTAAGTATAAGAAGATACGAATATCCTGGCTTCCACATTGCGGACATGATCAAGATCGGGACACAGGTAGAGTACACGGGCAAGAAGGGCAGGTCGGCGGGGAAGCAGACGACGGTGGTGACGGACGCGGAGGCCTTGTGGGCCATGCTCTACGCTGACGACGCGGCCATCGTCTCGCGCTCGCCGGAGAGTCTCGAGAAGATGATGTCGGTCATCGTGCGCGTGGCCGGCCTGTTCGGACTGATGGT